GATTGTAGGTCTCCTCCAGCGAAGGTCGTCGCTGGTTGGATGTCCAGTCTGTGCCGTTCTGGTTCAAATGTGTCATGCAATTATGTGGTTTAAGGTGGGCTTATGAAGGGGATTTTACATAAGGCCTTAAACTATATGCACCTGGTGTGTAAGCTATTATGATTGGGAACAGCTACAGCTACCAGTTAAGGGGTGGAACATGCTGAAAAGGGTAGTAATAGGGATTTATACCTATAGAAGAGTGTTCCAAACTATTTTTCCATTCCTAACTTGGTTTAAGTTAGCTTTACACGGTAAAATATAGTTTGGTTCAATTGTCTGTTGTCTTTTAGACGAACGACTTGAGATTGGGTGTTTGGTTTCCCCATAAATGTTTTGGAAGTCTATGGCGAGACTCATCAAAAAGAATTAGCTATCCCCCCAAATAGAATTGTTCGAGTAGGTTCGGCTTAAGCGTTGTGAGACCAATGTAGATTATGGTACTTAAGGTAGCATTAACATACATTGACTCCGCAAAGATTACATTTTAACGAATGAACTGCATGTTGGCATGGTTAAAGGCCTCTTAGTCTCTAACTTAACTACACACAAAATTCATTCTTACTTGGGGTGTTCAGAAACAATACCTAAAACCAATTAAACAATGTCTCAACATTGACAAAGACAGTGACTAAGCAACTAGAAAACGACGTTTCGGTGCGCCACTCACTCTGAATGTCAGATTTGATCACGCTATCGCGTCTGGTAGCATTACCCTAACTGGCGTCACCCCCCTTCGGTCATGGGAGACCGCGAACACGGGTGAGGACGTCGCTCCATGAGCTAAAGTTAGGCTGTCCTTGAATAGTTTTAACTGTTTGCACAGCTGAAAGAGGACTTTAAGGTCTGGATTGGAATCCAGTTCACCTTTCGATAGAGTGTATTTGTCTGGGTCAGTCAGATACAGTATCATCGAGTCAATTGTAGGATCATCCAACTTCTGAAGTTGGATGATGTCTGGGTCAGGTGAAAATGACTTTTCATATTTTAAAAGAACTTGGCGAAGTTTGTCTCTTTCTTCATCAGATGTCAGAGTGTCGGCTTGGGCGACCACCTGTTCAATCTGTGATGAGACTGATGAGGGTTCTTGCTCCTTGGGGAGCTCCAACGAATCCCTTTCTGAGTCGTCGGACCTGTCTATGGGTAAGACACCATAGGTTTGAGGTCCTTGGTCGACGTCATCGGTTGAGAAAAGAGCTATGGCCTGTGTTGGTTTTGTTAACCATACTGGCCCAGTTTCTTGACTCGGTACCAGGTTATCTGGGAGTCCTCCCAGAAATGGAATGCCTAGTTCAAAATCATGAAAATCAGGTTCTGAGTGTTCAGCTTGCGATGACTCATCATCGTTTGTGTGTGAGTTTACCCCCCCTTCGTCCGATGAAGGGTTGTTTGAGGCAACAACAGCAATGTCTTGGTGTGTTCCACTGACATCTGTAATGTTGTCATCCGCGCCCTCAGATGCAATAGTGATCACATCACTGCATAGTGCTCCTGGTTGGTTTCCCTTGTCAATGTGTTTCAAGGTTTCTAACAACCTGCGTATTTTCTCTGTCTCTTCCGAGCTGAGAGGTGTAGGGCCTTGTTTCTGGAACTTTTGTGATTTCTTTGCCTCGGTTCGCTTCGTCCAAGGTGGAAGACGGCTAGGTACGTCTTTTGGGGGTTCCTTTTCGGACTTCCCCTGATAATATGGGTCCTCTTGGATCCCATATCTTTGCGTCCTACGCACACCCCACTTACGATAATCACGTTCATCCCCTGAAAGAGGAGCTTTTTTGTCCCAGCGTGTACCTTGTTGACGCGGTATGTTAGTTTGAACAGACTGTTTTTTCTCGCCTTTTTTCGGAGGAGGCGGTGAC